TTCTGTCTCCTTAGTGACCATAGACGCTTCAGGAGGCTTCTTAACAACTGGCTGCACTTCTACCTGTGCCTCAGCTTCAATTTCATGTTCCTCTTCAACTTCATCATCAACTTCATCGGGGCCTTCTTCCTCACTTTCACTTTCCTGGAATGGAAAATAAAAAAAATAAACAACTACTTGATAAAAACCAAGTAATGGTAGCATTCAGAAGACATTTAAGTAGTAAAGATCAGGTTCACCATATCCTTATCACATGTTCTAGAGTCTGTTTACATTGAATGGAAATATAGTGGTAAAATATAGCTTACAAATATACTTACGACAACATTCACAACATCAAGTTAAAAGACTGGAAAGATAAACCCCCACTGCCCCCATTTCCCCTCTCTTTCTATAAACTATGGTTTGATGTTGCTCGTTGACATTTGTCATTGAGATTATAACCACTACACTGCCATTTTGCCAACTGGTGTCATTTTAATCAAGACTGACTTAATAAAGACAGTCCAGGCTGCATCCAGCAAGGAATGCAATTAATTTGGATGTAACATTTTCCCCACTAATAAATTACACTACTGTAAATATCTATTCGCATTAAAGAATCTTTTTAGGCGCTGGTCGCATATTTATCCATGTTATGTTTTAAAATTTATGTTTTAAGATCTCACAATATAATGAGCAATTTTATAAGTAACATTGCAACTGACATTTGACATCAAATGGTCTTGGATAGCCACAGAATAACCTACAATTTCAAAACAGCCTTTCCTAGACTACGGATGGAAAATTTTAATAGCGTAACATTAATTTTCACTTTAGCAAAAAATAAATTATAGCTCAGATGCAACAACGACAACAACAACAACAACAACAACAATTTAAATTCCGAAGATTCACTATGGGGAGGCATTTAATACTTTCAGCTGATACAGGAGCAGAGGATAGCACGAAGTGAACCAGCAATATATACCCACAAGAGTTTCCTCCATCCCCATATGCTGAATTTGAGCTAATGTACTGAATCCGACAAAATAAAGGACTATATCTTATACATC